ATGCATTGAGATTCTGGATGGAACTTTTCCTTCACATGCTTTATTTTTTCCCCTGATATGAAATCTTTGCTGCGATTCATTAGAAAAATCAGGGGATATAAAAGTTATAGTAGTTTTTCAATTTTGTCTTCCAAAATACAATAAAGCTTTTGATCCACTTAGAGCATTTAAAATTCTCAACACTATTGCTTGAGTTTAAAAGATACAAGTCTCCTGTCCTGGGTAGATTAACATTAATGACAGTAACCTTTGTGATTCCCCTGCATACCAAGGAGAGGCTAATTCCTTTGAGTTGATAATCCTATAGTAAACAATAATATGTGCTTCAGATGGAGGGAGGAAAACACCAGCAGTTCCTTGGTATTTTCTGCCTCTGGGCCTGTTTGTAAAACTCATAAGAGAAGGTGCCCATGTGCACAGGGTTGGTATCAGTGGGCACAGGACAATAGTGAATTTGACTGATATTCCATCTTTGACCTATGGATACTGGAATAGTGTCTCTGGAAGAAAAACAAACTTCTTCAAGGTCTTGAATTTTTAACCAGAAAAATATTGAAGTGGATAAAATGAAACACTCTAAATTGACACCGCACCACAGTCAAGGCAGCTACCACGATGATATTAGACTCTGTATCCTAGCAAACATCTGCCCAAAGAAAGAACCACCTGAGGGATGGAACCCACTTACAGCTCACCAAGCTTGTGCGTGGCACACTGACAGGCTGTTCTGAAGGAGGAAAGAAGCGGTGCTTTCCTGTTAAAGACCCTTATTACTGGTAGGGGACTTTGAAAGTCCATCAATACATATCACGACTCACCCTCACCATAGTTAGATGGGTCTCAAAGGCCTTTGCACTCACGGAATTCCTATAGACTAAGCATCTTAGGACATACTTTGAAACCCCAGACATTTCGAGATGTGAGCATGCTTGGCTAGGCTTGGGAGAATCAGAAAATCAAGGTCCAAAGTAAAAACAAATACACATACCAATTTGAACTCCAGGCTTAGAAGGTCAAGAGGTGATGAGAGTAGTTCCTGCTCTCTATTTGGCTAAAACAACTGCAGTTTCTATTGATTTTCTAATTTCCAGAATAGAGAGGAAAGCTCTGGAAGACAATGTCAAGGAAAAGAGCAACTCCTAAATAAAGACTCATTTATACATGTTCTTCCACCATCGCCCTGGCAGGTTAATAACACTGATCACCTAAGACAAAAAGAGAAATGCATTTTCAGATACAGTCAGCATTCATGAAGTGTAAAGATCCTTCCTGTTTCATGTTTTTTCTTCTTTTACAGCTAGCAAAAATGTTCTTCATCCTTCCAGGCCCGATCTTAGTCACCTGCTTGTCATGGGCCCCAGCAAATGGTACAGCTGGCAAGGGACTGGAGTGATGGTATGGCAAGCCACCTCAGTGTCAGGAAACAACCTCTACAAAATGAGTCTGCGTTCTTAGTTCACCTAATATCCAGGTAATATTTCCTTTGTGGACAGCATTAACATTGTGGATAACAGTGTTGATCTATAGGCAAGAAGTGAACAGAGAGTGGGAACAATTTCATTCCAATCATCTTGATGTGGGGGGGGGGTCTCTAGTTGTGGTTTCTGTCATTCTTATTTCTTCCTCTAAGTTTATTCTAACATTAGAAACCATAGCATATCAAAACTAATATTTTGTTCCCCATTTCTAGGATTGCTCAAATTTGGTGTAAAACTAAACACTGAACTGAACTGCTTCATGGAAATCTGAAAATCTGTTGAAAAAGCTTTAGGAATTCTTTGAAAGAAAATGTGTTCTTTCCATTGGTGGCTCTAATGCACAGTCAGCATTAGAAACAAGCACGTTAACACAATACTGACAATAATCCCAAGAAGAGTGTATAATTATCTTTATTTTACAGTAAGTAAAATAAGACACCGAATTTACAAGCAGCAAGACTGGGATTTGAGCCTTGGCAGGTGATTTGTCTCCAAGATTTATCCTTTTATCAACTAAGCTCTACTAACCTTCAAAATCAAAAACCACTAGATATTTGGGATACCATTCACGTGGTGTACATAATAAATCCTTTTGCAATGTCTCTACAGTTGGATTTTTTTTAAAAAAAACTTTTGTATAACTTTGGCTGAAAAAACAAACAAGATTTGGATCTAGGAATTACTCTGGTTTGCACATGACTGGGAAACTGACCAAGCTTGACCCAGTACTGAAATCAGTGATTTCACTGTTTGCTGTTAAAAGTGATCTACCCAGCTGGTCAACTTCGTGCCACCTCAGGATTCCCTCCTGCAGCCAGCTCTCTGAGGCTGCACTTCTTCCTTGTCCTTCGTTTACCAAGAACATTCATATAAATGATTCAGGTACAGATGTCAGAAAGGAACTGCTGCTTCCTTCTCTTTGACATTTGTCCTCCAGGGAAAATGGGTTTGAAAGTTCAAAATCTACTTGTGATCCCAAAATTACTACTGTCCTCATCTATTTTGGCTGAACTAGAAGCAAAGAAAGCACTTGATTTATATAAAGGGAGTTGGGAATGGAAAGAAAACCCATTTTTGTGTTGCTATAACTTGGTTTCTCAAAGCAGTCACGTGAATAACAACCTTGCTTTTGTTTACCTGAATCTGGTTAGACCAGAAGCATTCTTCTTACTGGGTCTGGTTGGCCTTAGAGGTGGTCTGTTTCAATGTCCAGAGCAAGAGATGAGGCAAGTAGAATATAGAATATAAATGGGGGGGGGAAATAGATGATGTCACCATATCTATTTAAAGAGGAGAAAGAAATACTATCCTCTGAAATGTGTGGGAGTTTGCAGGGTGTGACCCAGGCAGTTATCAACTAACAGGAGACATAGAGTGTAAAGTAGGGGGTTTAAAATAGTGACTTACAAGGAATGTGGGAGCAAATTGGCAGAGTCACAAAGTGACATCCTGACATTCCACCCTCCATGGGGTCTGTCACTACACTGTTCAAAATAGGGAAACTCATGGTATGACCTGATCAAAGAAATTTAGCTAAGACATAGAGCCCAGAGGACATATATCAGGCATACTCTGCTAGTCATTCACTAGGTGCATTTCACATGGTATCTCTCTCCATCCCAGGGTTTGTACCGAGAGAGAGGGGTATGATTTCCCATTGATAATTCCGAGTTAACTGTTAGGAAGGAAGACAGCATAGATTTGCAATGAGATTTGGTTGCTTCTAAAGCCTGTGTTCTTCCGCTCTGATACAGTCTTCCTAACTCACTCTCCTTGTCCTGAGCTTCATGCTCATTTGGTACAACATGCCTCAGCAAAGGCACTTCTGAGCCATCAGCAAGGGTGACAAGGGACAAAAGGCATGGGCTCATATGCTAGTAGGAGTCCAACTGTTCCCTGAGACCCCAGGGCTGTGCATCAGTGTTTACTTCTGTAATTGTGTCCTTTCCTTGGGTTCCATTTCAGCAATCTGGGTTCTTCTTTCCTAGCCACTGGCTGCCCGTCAGCTCTTGCTGTCATCATCCCTCATATCCCATGGATCAGTCTACTAATGTAACTGTGTCCAAACGTTTTTTTACTTCTGTATCTGACATATGAGCGAGAGGTTCTTGGGGTTGTTTTTGTCTTTTAATTTGTTTTGAGACAGGGTCTCACTAGGTTACCAAATTTGCAATGCTCTTGCTATCGCCTCCTGAGTTGCTGAGATTACAGGCATGGACCACTGCACCAGGCTGTCACCCTCTTTTGGATTCTATTTTCTGGGATAATGTGATTAGCTGATCAAGGAAAGGACTCATTCATTCAGCAAGAATTTACTGAGTTCACACTAAGGAAACAGAAATGTTCTAGGTGCTAGGAACAGAGATAATTAGCATTCAGTTTCTCCTTCAAATACCCTAGTGTTCTTCTCACCTGTTAACAGCTGTGCCTGGTGACAGTCCTGGGACTGGGAGCACCTGATTTCCTCATGCCTAACTTCCCTAACGCCTGAGCCAGGACAGCAGTCCAGCCTTGGCAGTTTGATTCAGTTCTGTTCTTGTTCTCACGATTTTGTGCTGTCTGGCAGAGCTTTCTTTTTTTGGAAATGTTATTGGGTTTTCCTTGATCTATCTCTTTTTGGAAGCCAGATCTCAACTCCAAAGGGCAAATGAGAAGAAAGGAATGACAGGGCAGCTTGTACCCTTGAACAGATAGAACTGGCTGCCTCACCAGAGCCACCAGCTGAAGACCCTCCCAAGGAGTGAAAAATCATATCAACAGTGAGAGAGAGAATGTTCCTCAGGCAAGGGTCTCAGGCAGGAATGCAATTTGCATTCAGTAAAATTCCCATTTACTCTATGTTAAAAGCCCATTTAATATGAGAGAAGCGGTGGCTTAGTTACCGAGTGCCACTTCTCAGCAGTTCTCAGAGCTACAATGCACCTGTTACTAAGAACACTGGCGCTGCGTCAGGGCTTCAGAAACAGCAACAGTGGGGAGCAACAGGAGGAGGCTGAACTTGAAACTTTGGTTAATTTTCCACAATGATAGAATTACCTTTGCTCACTGTTCCCATTATTTACTGATTTGTAGCAACTTCTAAATTCTTATATACAGTTACCAAAAGAAGGATTTTTTTCTTTATGGTTTAAATAGAGACAGTTTCAAGAACAACCATTACCATATGTTTCCCCAATTTCCAACATAAATCCGATCAACTAGGTTAATAACCCCTCTCGTCAGAATGAACACTGAGGTTTACACGGGAAAAAAAAAAAAAAGTACTTTGCTACTTTAAAATGAGACACACTCACTGACACACAGAACAAACCAGTTGAAAACCATGACATTTTAGAGCTGGCAGCAGATGAACTCAAACAGTCAGTAAGGAAATAAATATGTCAGAAACAAAAATTAAGCAAATATACACACCTAAAGGCAAAACAGAAAAAAAAAAAACTGTCTAAATATACTAGATAGAGTGAACAGTCATCTGTGGGCAGTGTCCCCAGGGTGTGAGTTTCTTTTAATTGGATTACTTACCGACACAAGTGGAATTCCCATTTCCCAGGGGAGGGCCTTCCGAACAGCTCCAGGACTGTTGTGCTGAGATGCTAACAAAACTAAATTTTAAAACTACTGGCAATAGAAGGATAAGTAAGAGCAGCATAATCACGATGGGCTTAAACTCTCAATCGCCAAGAACTTGACTTTGTTCCAGCACAGCCCAGGCAAAGTGAGTCTGTCTGACCCCCAACTCCACCCCGGTCAGCCTTCTGCCCCGGGGCATCTTTTACTCTTTGGCCAGTTTTTCTTGCTACTGCTCTCCAGCTTCTTCTTCACCTCAAGAGAGCTTCCGAGTGCAGCCTCAGAAGGATCCAGGAAAGATTTCTTTATCTGAGTTTTCTTTGGAAGCCAGGAAGAAATACCTGACACCCTTATGACAAATTTCACAGAGGCTACTCTCTGGAGGCCTGTGGCTGACTTTGTTGTGACAGGCAGAGCTAGGCAAAAGGCTTAGAGAGAAAAAAAAAAAAAGAAGAAGAAAGAAAGAAAAAGAAAGAAAGAAAGAAAGGAAAGATTGATGAAAAGTTCCAACCACGACCCCAGGATGAGGTTGAAGAAGAAATATGTAGATAGGATTCCTCCCCAAACACGGTTTCTCTTTTTGAAAAGCAGAATGATTCCCCTTTCCTTTTTAAAGCTCGGTTGGCCCCACCTCCTCTCCTTTAGTGACACTTGAGTGAGGCTCTGTTTGCAAATGCGAATGTACGGGACAGGAAAGCAGGACTGGCTGCCAGAGAGGAGATAACTGCTACTCACCATAAATATTCTGGGCAGACCAGGGAAAAAAGCAATTAGGGGGCTGTGGAGGAGCCAATGTTGAGGTAACTGCTGAATATTGGCTGTGTTTGAATATCTTGAAGGATGGAGACATGATTAAACGATGCAGTGCATATAAATCAATGGTGAACAACACCGCTGATAATTCACATTTATAACAATTGATCACTCGCATGAGCAATACCAAAGATAATTCACCCTCAGCTCATTATTTGAATGAAATGTCAACACCAGCGCACATTCCCCGGGCTTAATCTTTTTTTTCTCCTGTATATTTTATAGCGGAATTTGAAAGATTATTCTTTCCAAATCAAAGGGAAATCCCTGAAGCCAAATGAAGAGATACAGTATGCACAGACACCTCTTCTTTCAGCGTGAGCATAATAAAATGTCACGAGGGGCCAGGAGTGCAGGGAGAGGAGCAGATTGTTATTATAGAGTCGTGTTGGAAAAATAAGTTGATAGTGTAAAAACTAGGAAGCATGGGCAACCCTGCATGGCTGAATGCAATTCCTTCTCAGATAATTTGTGATCTTTCCACATCTTGGTGATAGAAAGTGAAAGCTTGACTGTATCCATTAATTTTCTCCTGCACCACTCTTTACTTGGAGCAACCCCCGTCATTTCTTCAAGCGTACACCCAGGGCCCAGAAATACCCAGCTCAGGCAACTGTTTACACCAGATTTGATGAACAATGGAAATTTCTGCCCATTTACTCCATCCTGGAAAACAGACCTTTATTTAAGTTGCCCCAAGGTAGTGTTCCAAATGTGAGTCTAAATGTAGATAAAGCAATAATCATGAAAATAAAAGTCTCAATAGTGGCCCAAGAAAACTGAACAACTCAAAGCCCTTCACTCGTGTATAATTATTTGATTATTTGTCAAAAAGTTAAATCATGATTTCTCCAACTTCAACCAGCCTCTGCCAGGCAGCTCTGACCCTGTGTAAGGAGAAACGGACCCTGAAGGGACAACAGAAGTCATGTGGATGGATATACGGAATATTCCATTGCTTTCTGGACTTGCTCAGACTCAAGATTCAAACGGAGAGTCCTACAAACAACCTGCACTGACTATTCAAGTTACCAGCCTTGTTAATAAGCTTCCCCTTCCGCAAAACACATGGCCAGTATCACAGATGATAGCAATTGAAGGGGCTTAGAGGACAGTCCCACATGAAGCGGTGTGAGTAAAGACAATGATAGGAACGTGGTTATGAAATAATATACAATAATATCCTATTTGGATTTAGACTCTCTCATGTTGTTTTTGGTTTTAAAAAGATTTGCTTTCCTGGGGCTGGGGTTGTGGCTCAGCAGTAGAGTGGTCGCCTACCACGTGCAAGGCCCTCAGTTTGATCCTCAGCACTACATAAAAATAAATAAATAAATAAAGGTATTGTGTCCAACTACAACTAAAAAATAAATATTAAAAAAAAGATTTGCTTTCCTAGTTCTGCATCAGCTTGACTAATGTTTTTATTTATATTGAACATAATGACACATCTTTAGGAGATGGCATCAATGTGAGTATAAGAAATGCTTCAACTGATGCCTGATGTTGAAGATCAATGTAGTTGATTCACAGATAGTCTATAGTTGCAAAATCATAGAACAGAGCTACCTAACTAGAAAGGGCTTTCAGAGACATTTAATTCCTTCTCAGAAATAATTTAATCATTCCATATTAATATTAATAATTTAATAAGTCCATATTCTCTTTCTTAATTAATTATTTTAATTAATTATACATGACAGCAGTATGTATCCATTTTGATTCATTGTACACAAATAGAGCACGATTTTTAATGTCTCCAGTTGTACACAAAACAGAGTCACACCATTCATGTCTTCATACATGTACCTACATCTCATTCCACCATCTTTTCTACCCTCATGCCCCCTCCCTTCCCCTCCTTCTCCTTTGCCCTATCCAAAGTTCCTCCATTCCTCCCATGTTCCCCCAAAAACCTTCATTATGGATCATCATCCACTTATCAGAGAAAACATTCGGCCTTTGGTTTTTTGGGATTAGTTTACTTCACTTAGCATAATATTCTCCAACTCCATCCATTTACTTGCAAATGCCATGATTTTATTCTCTTTTAAGGCTGAATAATATTCCAATGTGCATATATACCACAGTTTTTTTTACCTATTCATCTGTTGAAGGGCATCTAGGTTGGTTCCACAGTTTAGCTATTGTGAATTGTGCTGCTATAAACATTAATGTGGCTGTATCACTATAGCATGCTGATTTTAAATCCTTTGGGTAAAGACCTAGGAGTGGGATAGCTGAGTCAAATGGTGGTTCCATTCCAAGTTTTCCAAGGAATTTCCATACTGCTTTCATATTGGTTGCACCAATTTGCAAGAGTGTGCCTTTTCCCCACATCCTAACTAACAGTAGTCCACATTCTTAGATCTAGATAAAACTAAACTTTTCCTGGGCAAACAGATCCTTATTTTAAAGCTGACTGGAAGTCTCTTATAACTTTATGATTTAAGCTGCCAAACATGTTTTAGTTTTTGGAATTGAGTCAAAATTAACTAATTCATCAATTAAGCAATTAAATGTGATAGGGCACTATATGGAGTACAAGAAACAGAAGTAATGAATTCTCTAAGGTGAATTATCAACAACAAAGAAGACTACATAAGTATGAGCTAGTGAATGTTCAGTCACCAAATATTTGGGGGGTCTGTCAGAAAGAAAGGGGGAACTGTAATGAACTTTGTGAATTAGAACATGTAGTGAAGTTTTGTGCAATGATTGGGAAGCCTCAGATGGGCTTGGAGAAGGAAAAAGGCCACGATGAAAACAGAATGTGGAACAAGAATGGACAAAGAAATATATATATACACACACAGCCATTAAAGAAAATGAAATTATGGCATCTGCCAGGAAATGAATGGAAATGGAAACTATCATGCTGAGTGAACTTGGCCAACTTAGAAACTCAAAGGTTGAATGTTTCCTCTCATATGTGGAAGCTAGAGTAAAATAAAGGGAGAGGGTAGGGAAGGACAAGATTACATAAGGAAACATTGGAATCCAAATTAATAGATGAGCGAAAGGAAGTTTAGTAGAGCAGAGGAAGGAGGGGGACGGAGGACTGGAGGGAAAAGGGGGATCATGAACTGGAATTGATTTCCATGCATGTATGAGGTTGTCGGGAGGAACCCAGCTACCATGTATAAACATAAAGCTCTAATTTAAAAAATGGACAAAGAACATAACTAGAGCTTCAGACATTGAGGTGACACAGCTGAATAATAAATCCTATTGGTAGGTCAGTACGAAAATTAAACATCAGTGGCAAGAAGACAGTGCTGAATGCTTTGCAGAGTGAGTAGGCAGCTCTGGCTAGAAGAAGGAAGGCTACTGGGAGTCATGTTTATGTGTGCTGCTCATTATGCTAATGTTTCAAAGAAAAGTTCCCCGTGGAAACACAAAGCACCTCATTCTGCGGCGTTATGTATTTCCTATACGCAACAGCTCTGATTTGTCATCACCACCACTCACCATCAACAGATTGCTTCCTATGTACCAGGAAACACAAAACATCTGCTTTATTCACATCACCTCTAATCCTCAACACCATCTGGCCAAAGGAATAGATACTATTAATCCCATTTCACAAATGAGGACACTGAAGATCAGAAAGACTGAGTAATTTTCCCAAGATCACACACATTTATAGAAGAGAGAAGCTCTGGAATCCTCATTCTGTCACTGACCAGAAGAACAGGCTGGGCACTACCAAAAGGAAGAACAGAACCGACATTGCATGTCTGATTGCAAGAACCAGGAGTGACAAGACAGGATGTCTTGGGGGAAAAGGATTCTTAGCATTCACACGCACCTGCAGAAACAGTGCACTGGCTGGTTCGTGGATCACCTCTGTCGATGAGTGCCAGTGTACCAGGGAAACTCTCTCAACAGTCAATAACATTTTCTTGTTTCTCAGCAATAAGTTGGCATGTGTCTGGCATTCTACATGACTCATTTGTGGCAGGAACTGAAAATATTAAATGGGGGTAAATTTGGAGGGGCACAAGCATAGGAGGTAGCTATGAAAGGAAATTTCAAATTTTTCAGTGTAAGAAAATCAGATGTGAACGTCTTAATGAAAAGAGGGGTAAGTAACTCCTTGACATTTACCCAAATGAGTTGAAAACATGTCCCCCCCAAATCCTGCTTGTGTTTATTGATAATTGCCAAAATTGGGAGGCTAGCAAGATGTGGTTTTATTTGGTTTGGTTTATTTTAATTACTTTTGGTTGACTTTCTTAACCTGACTTTAAATTCAGATGCATTCATTTTTAAATTTTTATTTAAGTAAAATTTATATAAAGTGAACAGATCTTAAGAGTACAATCAGATCAATTTTTAAAAATTTTAATAAATTTATTAATAATTTTGAAGTGTGGGGGATTGAACTCAGGACCATGCATGCAAAGCAAATGCTCTACTACTGAGCCACATCCCCAGAAATCTGATGAGTTTTGATAAATGTGCATATGAACTTGAACAACACCTCAATCAATAGGTGAATAAATAAACAAACTATGGTACATCTACACAATGAGATACTATTCAGCAATAAAAAGAAATGAGCCATCAAGCCATGAAAAGTTCAGGAAGAACCATAAATGCATATTGATCAGTGATGTAATGTGTAAAGCTACACACTATGATTCCAACAATAACACATTCTGGAAAAAAAAACAAAATATAGAAAGAATTAAAAAATGAGTGATTTTTATGAGTTTCAGGGGGAGGAAGGCAGGGATGAACAGATGG